GTTTTTGACTTTGAGAATTTCGCGAAACCGGCAACTTACTGTTTTTCAGGCGATTCATCAGCTCCAGGAAGTTCGAGGTGTCCAAATTTCTGAACATACTGCTCGAAGGAGATTACGTCAGTATGGACTGGTGGCTTTTCGCCCCGTAAGAGGAGCAGAATTGACCAGACTCAGAATCGCACGGCACGCATTTGCTCTAGAACATAGTCATTGGTCTTTGGACGATTGGTCTGTTGTACTTTTTACAGATGAGTAAAGATTTGCTGTACGATCTCCAAATGGGCGTGAAAGAGTGTGGAGAAGGCAAAATGAAAGGTACGAAGCCTGTAATTTTTCCAGAGCCAACTTTTTCAACGTAGCTCAGCGATGGTGTGTGAAATTTCAATGGAGAGTCGCTCAGAGTTGGTTGTTGTACGTGGAGAGGCTTTGACTGCCACTCGCTATGTGGATGAAATTTTCGAGCATCATGCTTTGCCTATCCTTGATGAAATCAGCGACAATCTTATTCTAATGCACGATAAAGTCCGTCCACATTTCGCTCGCATAGTACAAACGTACATTCAACAGCATAACATCAAGGTTTCCTGGCCAGCCCGTTCTCCATACTTGAACCTCATCGAACATTTATGGGATAACCTCAAACGAATAAGAGCACGTCCATCACTTCCTGATACACTCCACGATCTTGAAAGGACTCGTGAAGAATGAGCTAATCTCCAGCAAAGAGACATTTCCAGACTGGTAGAAAGTATGCCGTGGCGTCTTCGAGATGTAATTAAGGCAAGAGGAGGAAATACGCGATATTGAAATGTTAATTAAAAATCTAAAACAAAATTTAAACAAATTTTATCTGTCCGTCTTTTTCCCTTTAGCAATTTACGTTTTTTAAACTTTTTAGACAAAAATTCTATTATTAAACGTTAAAAAACGTGAAATTTTGATTATAATATAAAAATATATACAAATCAAGTCATATTGCAAGTGGGTGGAATTTTTTGCCTATCAGTGTATTTTATGAGTAAATGTGGAAGGAAGATGAATCCACATTTAGGATGAAAGAAAAGAAGGAAATGATCTCATCTGGATTACTTCCATTTCTTTTCATAGGTTATGAGATTTATAGTATTTTTGAGCATTTAAGCGAAAAAGAACAAATTTGGCATTGTTATTTTTTACTTAGAAAGTCCCCGAGATAAGAGACCCTTCGAATTAAAACAGTTGACTTACAGTTGTCGACAAATGTCACGTCGCTATAGCCAAGGTTGCATGGGAAAGAAAGGAATAAATGTTTTCTCGTTGTATTTTTGTGTTTTGCAAAACAAGGAGTAAGATTAATTCTTGAATAATTGTTAAGAATTTACATCAATGAAAACGTCCGTATAGATACTACAAACATTCCAAGGTATTAGGACACCATTTATCTTTTGAATGAAGTTCTTATATTGGCCTTCTCCCAGCATTTATGTACTTATTTTTTGCAAACATCTAAGAAGGCCGGGACATTCTTGTCTATTACAGTTAATAAAATGACAGATGGCATATACAATTGATAAAAAAAAATTTAGTGTTATATATTAATTGTATAGACAAACGAGAAATTTAAAACTGTATTCATAGAGAAAAACCTTTGCACAATAAATAGTTTTGAAATAAATCGCACGCAATTCCTTTTGCGTGTTACTCCGTCTATTCTTCCCTAGTGAAAAGTTTCCATATTTTTTCAGCAAATGTTGTAATCTTATCGAAAGTATCTTATCAAAAAGTATGTATTTGCCTTGTGGATATAAAGGATGGACGAAACTATCGTTGCCATGTTAAGCCATATTACTTTGGAATTATTGATATGCTTAAAAAAATTGTAAAACGTCGGTCGTTTTGGTTATAAAATCGTTCTACCTTATTTCTTTTTTATTTAAGCTAAAAATATATTTTTCGCCGGGTGAAAAGACACAGGAGGGGAGTCGTAAATTTTATGTTTTATTGCCATTGTTGATATTTTATCTTTCTCGCGCGTTCTCTCTCCCATATTGGTTTTTGGGAGGAAATTTAAACATTTAAATAGTTTATAAAAAATTCCATTGTGTCCTTTTACGATTTCAAACTGAAACTGGGCAATTTTACATGGCTTGTTTTAAATTAATGACTTAATTGTTCTCATAATTTCATATAAAATATGATGGTTGCAAAAACAATTTATACAGTTTCTGAAAATTAAAGCTTTTTCAACAAGAAAAGACCAAAAAATCAGATCTCTTATTTTATGACAAAAGACTTACTTGGAACCACACTAGACCAAAAGAAAAAACTTAAACAATATGAACTACCGAAACGAGTACTTGACAACAGATTTGTGGGGTTCAACTAACCAGTGTGTTCCAACCTGCAAAGAATCCAGTTACTCCATTCCATATCATTTGAACCATTGTCAAAGCCCCCTTATCTATCCAGTATCTATTATTATTATCCACACAGACTTCCAAATTCAATTTTTCTTGAAACTGGAAGAGGATATAGCCCGGGGGACCACTTTATGTTGGGTGATGAGAGATGGATCCAAACTCAGGTTCAAAACGTTCCAGAGTTCTGGCGTCCAAGAGTCTTAAGGCAAAAGTGGATAATATGAACCCTAAAAATTATTCATGAGGTGGAAGGTCGCCTGTACTCTTTTGCTGTCATACATTTTCACGGCTTACCAGCCTTGTACATATCCCTGGGCAGATAGTTTTATGACAGCAATTGTTTGGTTGCAGAACCTTTTAGGACAGCATTCAAATAATGAAATCTTTGTATCTCGTTCAAGCTTTCATTGTCATGAATGAGGGATATAGCGGTACAGTACTAATTCCGGCTTATAATGTACAAAATGTATGATCATTGTTAGTTACCATTTTGCTTGGAGCGTCTGCAATTTGTTGATTTTTCAGTTAGTTGAAACACCAGTTGAAACACTCAGAGAGTGTAGAGAATCTCCCTGCAATGGCCTGGTGAAGAGCCGGCAGATAATGCCACTAAAAAACATGCCGTGGCTCTCATAACTAGGCTCTCATTACATTCACTCCTCCAGAGTAGTCGATATTCCTCAGAGTGGGTTTAAACCGTTGTTTGGCTAATAAATTACTTCACACCAACACATAACATATCAGATATCATTATTAGAAATGGGGACTGATTATATGATCCTGGAAACAATCTTCACAACTTCCTATAAAGTCTCAACGGACTATAAAGGAGAGGAAGAACACAGGAGAGCATCAGATACAATGATATCGTACACAGATGGCTCCAAAACAAACGAAGGAACCGGATCAGGCGTTTTCTGTACAAGCCCAAAACATGAGCAATCAAACTCATTAGGGAAGTACACTTCGGTCTTTCACGCAGAAATACATGCCATCAATGCTTGTGCCCTGGAAAATCTTAAAAGAGGTTACACTGACAAAAAATCCTCATAAGATCAGATAACCAAGTAGCCATTAAAGCATTAGCATGAAAAAGATCACATCAAAATTAGTCAGTGAATGCATCCAAAATCTCCAAAACCTGAGGAAACACAACAACCTGATGATGTCTTGGGTGCCAGGGCACAAGGGAATTGTTGGTAACGAGAAAGCAGTGGCCAGAGGAGGATCTGCAAGACCATGCATAGGCCCCGAACCTATTCTTGGGATAACAAAACAAATATAGAATCCTCCATCGCAGAATGGATCCAAACAAAACAAGTGGATAAACTCCAGTGGTGCTAGACATAGCAAACTTATGATGAATCAACACTCACTAATTATTGCTGCAATTGGAGAGGGCCAAACTCAGAGGAGTGGTAGGACTACTAACCGGTCACTGGCATCTGAGAAAACATCTACACAACATGGGCATACACAACGATGATCCCATTTGCAGATTATGCAATGAGGAGGAAGAAACAGCCACTCGTATCACTCATCTTTGAATGCGAAGCAACAGCTCAATGGAGATTTAACCTAACGAACGGAAAAAACTTAGGGAATCAAATTGCAGCAGCGACAGTCAATGACCTGATACTTCTAAGGAGAAGGATTGAGCCTATTGCACTGAACTAGGGAACTAGGAAGGTACAATAAGCCAGAAGGCTGCAGTACCTGAGGAGTGCAACCCTTCTTCCTAATATCCTTTTTCACCATACCATACCATACCCATGGTATGGGTATCCATGTACACATACTGTATATGGCTTCTAGTTTTCTGCATTGTAAAATAAGCCGGTGGTCTCTCTAAAAAATTGTTTTCTATTGTTATTTTAATCAATTGATCATTTCATAACCATTTTTTTAAAAAGAAGGTAAGACACGAAATATGCAAGATGCACCTAAGAATTTGTTGAACTCTGGGGGGTACAGAACAAAATTAAAATTTGAAATGTAAAACGAGCAGGTGCAGTTGAAAAGCCAGACAAATGATACAATACTTGCTCAATTCACATTTTGTAAAGAACAAGGACAAGAAGGCCATGCACGATATGCAGGCTGGGTCAATTTCAATGCCCCTTAGTGAAAAAGCATTATTTGCATTCAAATTTGACTCACCTGTACTTGCCTTACAAACAAAAACTTGCCTTATAATAAAATTTTGTCAGATTCGACACACCTAGGACAAAAAGCATTATTGAGTGCACTGAGAAAATTTTGAAAGTAACTAATGCTTTTTTCCAATATTATCAAAATTTGATTCAATTTCTATTAAGAAAAGCACTTTTTTCCTACTGTTTCTCAAAAACGGACTCACTGGTGTATCTCATGGAATTTTGGAGAATGTGTAATATGAAAAATGTACCATAAAGACCCTCTGACTACTCAAGTGATGCTTCATGTTTTTGGGCATTAGCTACGTGTGGACTTATAAAGCCAACTTATCATTTTTGTGTATTTTTTTTGGAAGAAAGGTGTAATAAAATTTTAATTTATTTATCAACTACTAAATAGAGTGATTGTGTATGCATTATTATAACCTTGTTTTGACATTTTCAGGAAATGAAGGCGATGTTGTACATCGCGGTGGAAGAGGCGCCTTCAGCAGAATCAGCAGATCCAAATGAAATCACAAGGCATTTCAAGAATTTCGATGAAGTCTTTATCCACTACTGTGATAAAGAGTTAAAAAAAATTAATACATTCTACTCTGGTAATGTTACATTTTTTGTTGTTTTCATGACAAACTGTACACACAGAAACGATTGTACATATGAAATATGCATAATGATAAATTGTTTTTAAAAACTTTTTGTTTTTTAATAGATTTTTTACTAACAGGTAGTAAGTTAACAATTAAAGAAATTTTTAAAAAAGATGTAAGTCATTTACATCCAAATAAAGAATGGAACTTTAGATGAAAATTAAATATCTGAGATGTGACCAGCATTTAATACAGAAAAAGTAGATTTCTTAATGTTTCAAGAAGATTTGGTAAATATTTTCAAGAGAAAATCAAAGAATATGTCTTTATTTAAAAAAATTAAGTTATTATAAAATTAAAAATATACAACATTGAAAAAACAAATTTCTACAGAAATAGATCAATGAAAAAATCAAGCATTCGGTTTTTTCAAGCAGTTTTCTACTTGCAGAAAAGTTGGCGGAGGCGCAGAGGAAGTTTGCCACACTCAGAAGCGAGCTATCAAATTCACGTCACCACCACAATGGAAAGCTGAAGGGTAGCGAAAAAATAATGGACATGATGAAACAGGGGACGAAGAACTTGCCAGCTCGGAAGCTGCAAGAGCTCAAACTGGCTTTCAGTGAATTTTATCTCAGCCTTATCCTACTCCAAAATTATCAAAACCTGAATTTCACCGGGTTTAGAAAAATTTTGAAGAAACATGACAAAGTAAGTTTGTAATTGTTATTTTGTTTGTTAAAATTAATCCCTGGCCTAGTTTAAAAATATTTACTAATCGTTATAAAATTGTTAACCAAGTCAGTGTGGAATAAGCCAAATTATGCAATTGTTTTTAGCTTTTAAATGTGTCTGTTGGTGCCAAGTTTCGAGAGGAGCATGTTGAAGCTTCTCATTTTTTTACAAATACTGACATTGTGGGGTTAATAAATGAAGTTGAAACGACTGTGACAAACGAACTCGAGGATGGTGATAGGCAAAGAGCGATGAAGAGGCTCAGAGTTCCGCCCCTAGGGGAGAAACAGACTCCTTGGACCACTTTCAAAGTAGGCCTATTCTCTGGGTCTTTTATTGTTCTATTCTGTGGAGTTGTTTTATCAGGTAATAAAGTAATTTGTACCATTATTCCTATAGTTGTAATACGATTTTGTTTTCCATTACAGCAACATTTCATTCAGTTGAGAGCGAAGACTTAAAAACTGCATTTAAGCTTTATCGGGGACCGCTGTTGATAATTGAATTTTTGTTTCTAATTGGAGTTAATGTTTATGGTTGGCGGTCCTCAGGGGTCAACCATGTACTTATTTTTGAACTAGACCCTAGAAATCACCTTTCTGAACAGGTATTTTTCTTACTAGCTTTTTATAATATTTTTTAAAATTTGTTTTCTTTCATCAGGATTTAATGGAAGTGGCTGCAATCATGGGTGTGATTTGGACATTAAATTTACTGACGTTTTTGTACAGTCCTTCTCTTAGCATACCACCGTACTTTAATCCTCTGGCACTCGTTATTATCATGGCACTGTTCTTGATGAATCCGCTTAAAATGTTCCGGCACGAAGCAAGATTTTGGGCTCTAAGAGTTACTGTGAGTATCAAATCTTGATAATATTTGAAATAACATAAATCTTAGTTTGAAAATAAGTAATAAACTTATTTATACTATTGTACTTATAAAATGTAGTAGATATATACAATCTTAATCTTTCAATAGATAAGTTTGATACACCAGATATATACAGAAAAAACTAGATATTTCATTTAAATGGCCCAACCATTATAAAAAGAAATGTTTGAATCTTTTATTATTTTATTCTTCTAAGCCATATATAAATTTATTAATATGGTGCTTTTTGTTTTAGTGGAGATGCATCGCTGCCCCGTTTTATCATGTAGGGTTCGCAGACTTTTGGCTTGCTGATCAGTTTAACAGTTTGGTTACGGTTTTCTTAGACATCCACTTTACATTTTGCTTTTATTTCACTAGTGGCGATATTCTAGGGCCAAAAGGTAATTTGTAATAGATTATTTAACTTTAAAATTGGTTAAAATTTCATAGAATAAAAGTAAATAAAAATTTTTAGTAAATTAATTTTTTTTAGTTTTGTTGGTTTATGTTAGAAAACATTTCCATTTGGTTTTTTAAATTACTTATTTACATTTATTTGGATGTTTTGGGAATTTACACCTATCATCAGTATCTTATTATTGTATTAAATTTATAAATATCCATATTGTATTTTAAAAGATATGACCATCTTGCATTTCCCAACAGGTTGCATGGCTAAGATGGAAGAAGGTTACCTTATTAGATTATCCAATGATTCAAAATCACCCACCTAATTGAACAATGACCCACCCTGAGTGTTGGCAGTTGGGGGCCAGACTTCGGTCTTATCACCACCGAAGTTGGGCTCCAGGGCTATCTACAGCTAGTTTGTTTCAATTGTTCACCGAACCATTTCTAGATCTAAAACCGCACTCTTCAAAACATTCTTTCCTATTTACATGCCATTCATTCAGTTTTGGTGATAGAGTACTTGCTTTTCTTTAAAACCCTCTACACTAATAAAGAATTAATTTAATTGAGGGTTGATGGGGTTCTCAATATTTAACGACCAATTGCCTGTTTGGCACAATAGTTGAAAGGTTAAGTGCTAAAGTAATCCTACTAATCATTACAATTACATATCTCATGGGATGATGAATGAGGGGTCAACCCACTAAAATACTTCTTTCATACTATTCTCAATTAAAAATTCATGGGTTGTGCTGAGATTTGTAGCCAGGATCACTAGCATGGCAAATACAAGTCTAATGCCCACTTGGCCATTGTGGTCCCTTATAAACACAAGATAAGATATCTATAAAATAAAACAGCCATTTTTCTTATAAAAATCAGAACAGGGAACCCAAATACTCGTTGCCCTCAAGCACAATTGTCATATTGGGTGGCATTCCTACACGCTTTTTATAAGGAGCCAAGAAATTACACCCTTCAATTAGGTGGGGCACATCAAGTAACCTATCGGTGCATACAAGACACAAATGTGGGCTCCCATGTCCTATTCTTAATTTGGTGGATGACCCCTCTTCTACAAGAATCTCTGAGGGCCACCTATCGACAGTGCTCTTGTAACGATTTGATTAAGCTTTGCATTTAATTTAATTAGCATTATAATTTTATAATTATTAATTAAAACATAATTACTAAGGATTTTTATAATTAATTATTAATAAATTTTAAATTTTAATTTATTATTCAAAATAATATAATTTTTGTAATTTTTTAAAATGATTTTTATTTTCATGAAAATAGCTGTACGATTATTTACAAAGCATAGTACAAGCATGGATTACAACCCATGTGCCGGAGGTGGTTGTTAAGAGGGAAAAATTAATAAAGAAATAATAATAAAGAGAATATATATATGTCAGTAATGTAGATTATGTAGATAATTATATAGATTTCATTAATAATCTATTTACAATTTTAAAAGAAAAATACTGTGTTGGGGCACGCCTGGAATTCAAGTCCCAGGTGCGATGGTATCCCATATGAAATGCTGCAAAACTTTCCCCAGGGTGTGAAGCATAGCCTGGAATTCTTCAACAAATGATGGGATATGGGCTCCTATCCCGACCGGTGGGCAATGATCCGAATCTGGCCATGTATTACTGATCTCACTGACAACCTGGCCTGAGTAAACTTTTGGAGTCTATAATAAACGGTCGTTTGACCTGGTGTCTTGAGGCAAAAGGGTTTTACAGCCGATATCAGGTGGGATTCCATAGACATCATTCCCAGACCATCGTGCTTGCCTTCTTGAGATTGATATTCTGAATACATTTCTGAATAGAGCATGCTCAAGAAAGCATGGCGATACTTTGGAAATGTTTGGATATTGGATTTAGAGAAAATTACCCTGGTTTCCTGAGGAACTGAAGATTCCGTGTCAGATTGGGGTCTGTGCTCTCTAGGGCCTTTGTTTAAGAGAAGGGAGTCCCTCAGGGTTCAGTGATAAGCATTGCACTTTTGTTAATTGCAGTGAACGGTATCACTGATGGTGCCCCCTGACCAAGCAGGAAGCGAATAGGCTCATATGTGCAGATTTGTCACTATATAAATTCAAATCCAAATCCAAAAATGAAATATAAGGAAAGTGTATTGAAGACAACTTTCTAAAATAAGTTTTTGTTTCAATATTGAAATTTTATCTGATTATTAATTGAATAATTTTATATTATAATAATAAGAATATATTTTATATTTTAGGTGGAGATAGTTGTTCAGGGATGATCGCAATTATCACAAAGGGCCTTGTCAACTGCATTCCAGCTTGGATGCGTTTTGCTCAATGTCTAAGACGTTATAGAGACTCAAAGGAAGCATTTCCTCATCTTGTAAATGCTGGAAAGTACTCGACAACATTTTTTGTCGTTATTTTCAACACACTGAAGTCTATTTATAAAGGTATACTTATTATTATTATTATTATTATTTTAGGGTTATATAATAATGTATTTGTTTTTCCCCTCAGATGACTATCTTCCTGATGATATCAACCCTTACGAGTACCTCTGGGTGGCTGCAAATGTAATCAGCACGATTTACGCATACACTTGGGACATTAAAATGGATTGGGGTTTAATGGATTCGAATGCTGGTGAAAATAAATTTCTGAGAGAAGAAATTGTTTATTCAAGCAAAGTAAGTTGTATTACCACTGATGTAACTTTTAAACTAATTGAGTTAATAAGTGAACTTACATTGAGAATAAATGGGCCAAGTTGATCTGGGACGATCAAAATTTGGACATGTTCAACAACTCTTAGTCGATCCAACAAATTTTAACAGTTTCAAGGTAAACATATAAATCCTGAGAGAATTCTTAAAATTTTAACATAAGAATTAATCTCATTACTATAATCCAGCCTATCTTCAAATGTTTAAGTTGAGCTGGATGGTTTGCAAGTTGAATATTTGCCAAGAGGTTAATCACTCTTGAAAGAAATACGCTAATTACGGCAAAATTTTAAAAATATCATAACAAAACTTTATGTCAGGACAGATAGACATACATACATTATATACATTTCTATATGTGATTAAACGCCTACATTTTCCTTAAGGAATGGAATAGGGGATCTAGCAATGACCTGCCTACCGAGTACCATTTGTATGTTAGAGGTCAAGCCTACATGCTTCCTGTAAGGGGCCAAGGCATGGCACTTTGGTACTCTTCGATAAGACGTGACACACTAAGCAATCATTCTCTACAAATAGAACACCTCTGTGGGTTTTGTCCAAATTATCCTTGTGTCAGATGGTTATGGCCAATCCTCAATTGGGTTAGCATGATTCTTTCATTTCATTGTCAGAGGGCCATCACCACTGATGTTGCAAACTCTTACAGCATTCTTTTCTGCATGTGCATTGCCACCTGGCCAGATTGCAGTAGTTCAGTCTGGAGGGGGAGAACTGAGTTCGGTCCTCACCCTCCAGGCATCACATTTGCCTTTTCAAAGAAGCTGTATTGTTTCCCGGCCACAGCTTTGCTCTGATGTCTCTACTTCTTCTTGAAAGAGTTGGCAGGTTTCTGTTTCAGATATTTCCATTTTTTTTAAGGTGATAAGTAAATAAGTGGTGGCCAGAATAATTTTTTTTACAATTGGTTCCTGCCCGCTGATAGAGAGGTAGTTTTTTTGTTTTCCTTGTTGAGATGTTAATGAACTTTTTTGATTGTTTTACTCCAGGTGAATTCATCTATTGTGTAGTCATTTCTTTCTCTATCTATTTGTACAGTTCCGCTTTTAGCATGCTTTGAGGCGTGCCAATTGCTGTTCCAGTCCAATGATGTCTGCTCCTGCTTTTCCTATCTTAGTGTTACTTGATTAGGTTTTCCCAGGAGCTGGAGATGCTAGGCATTCCTAGACCAGAATTAAAGGAGGAGAAAAAATGCTGGTGTGGGGCATAAAAGCTGTATCAAGTTAGTTAATTTTTGCAACCTAAGGCAAATTTAAATCTAAGGACGAAAGGTTTCTGTCTTTTTATGTCCAGAAATGTAAATTCCTTTATTATTTTTACCATAGATTTTTCAAAAATTACCTTAAGAAAGAAATTGACCTGAGCTAAGTTATAAGAATGTGTAAATAGAATTAATGATTAATTAATTTTGTTTTTGAGATGCTTGTACTGCATATTTACTACTCACTCTCAACACGACACACAAGAATGACCCATCTACAAAACAAACACTTTGAGCCCTGAAGATGATCTCAATAAAAATTGAAACATTGGCATGATAAAGAAAATGTTTTTCTAAAACCTATGACACACCACATCGCACCTCACAATCTCCAAACAATCATATTTTACAAATTTTTTTCCTACCATTTTTAGAGTTTTTACTATTTTGCAATTATTGAAGACCTCATACTTCGATTCAGTTGGGCTATTTCCTATATCCTAACTGAAAATGGATGGATTGGCGGAGAACTCATGACTTCAGTGACTGCCCCACTTGAAGTGTTTAGGTGATTAATAAAATTTGTCAACATTACAAATTAATTGTTTCATCGACTAATTTTTATATTTGTTCTTTGCAGGAGATTTGTATGGAATTTTTTCCGTCTTGAGAATGAACATCTTAACAACTGTGGTAAATTCAGAGCGGTGCGAGATATATCAGTTGCACCTCTTGACGCCTCTGATCACACGCAGATATTAAAGATGATGGACGATGATGATGGTGTTTCAAATAGAAATCTTAAGAAGAAACTTGGTAAAAAGACTCCTAAAGAAGATAAACGGCCGCTTATTTCCAAACAAAATTCAATGGCTGATTCTGTATCCATAAATATTTCTCCACGATTGGAGAGACGAATTTTTTCTATGCCCAAGAATCATCGGTAGCTAGGTTAAAAACAAGATTGCCTTATTGAAACTAACAATATATGCATGAAAGGATATAATTTCTTTTTTGCAATTTGCAATCATTGTCTCTCATTGTTAGTTTCTAACTAAACATTTTATTGTCAAAATATCACTGAAAAATTAGTTCCCATGAACATTGTAAAGGTTCCAAACAAAAATATTGCCAGTAGAGAATTAACTTGTTCATTAAAAAAAAGGTTACTTAATTACTTGAAATTTCAAAATAATTATTTTTAAAATTGCCATCGGCCTAATGAAGATATTTTGTGATAAACGTTAGATCAAGGAAGTGATAGTAGTTTAAGTAAATGACTATTTTTATATTATATAATTATTTATTTCTACAAATTTTGTATATTGCTATTTTCATAAATCATATTCATTTTGATGCACTAAACAAAAAACACCAAGAAACGAAATTTATTTAACTTTCCATTGTCAACTTATAATTGTGATACATCATTGATATTATCTATCAAACAGAAATACGATGTAAGTATTATTTAACAAGTGAAATGTGATGGCTTTCTCCTTTTTTATTTGTATATAGTGTTTTTAATTTGTTTTCAGTCTTTATTAACATTTAATTTTTTTTATAAATATGTAAGTACTTAAAGATACCGGATGTTAAAAAGCAATAAAGTTTCTTGTTTGTTTACAAGTTTGGTCAATTTACTACTAAGAAGTGAACTTTTTAATGAGAATTAAATATATGTACATTGAAAATTCGGTAAATTTTTTCAGCAAAATGGAAAAAGTAAAAAAAAAAGATTATTTGGATAATTGTTTTTTTTAACCTAAAATCTTGCTCATGTTAAACATTATCTTGAGTTCAGAATTGAGTTGTGTTGAGAATAGGCGTACTAGTCTGGGGAAGAATACTAGTCATTTAAACAGCTCACCAAAAGAGCACAAACATGGTAGAACAATGGTGCTCATGAGGACTTAAAGCAAACCTCTCAAAAACTACACCAATTGCATTTAATAAGAAAATAAACATAAAAATACAAGCTTCTATAATGAAATGCTGCAGTTAAAAAATGAGGTTAAACACCGAGAGATGATCTTTGATAAGAATTTAACTTAAAACCACCACCTGCAGCACATCATAACAAATAAAATATCACTAATGACCACAAGAGGAACTAAGGCAAATCTAAGAGCTAAATTTGAAAATGGCCCATTGGCAACTCGGAAGTAATAAAACCCAATTTATATAGCCACTTGAAGAGGGTCATCCACCTGATTAAGAATAGTACATGGGAACCCACATTTGTGTCTTGTATGCAGAGAAAGGTTGCTGGATGTGTCCCACCTAATTGAAGGGTGTAATTCTTTGGCTCCATACAGAGCGTGTAGAAATGCCTGCCAATATGAGGGTGACAGCAATTATCAGGATCACTATTCTGTTCTTTGTGGAAACAGGATTGTTTTATTTTATATAATGATGATAGTTTGTTTGTGTACCTAGAATGTTTTGAGAGTAAATGTATTTATTAGTGTGAATGTGTAGAATGCTAAGCAAGTACTCGACCACTACAGAATTATGTAAATAGGAAAAGAATGTATTTAAGAATGAGTGAGAGTGTGAATGGGTTTGGATTTAGAAACTGCTTGCGTAGGTTGCTGAAATGACCTAGCTGTTGACAGAGCTTAGAATTATTTCAATATTTTGACTTATTGTTAGATTGGTGCATGATAAAGGAAAAAACTTTTAGTCTGTCAGGGTTGGGTTTTCTTCACTACCTATTTTAACAAAAATTTTGATTATTTTAAAAATAGTGTCTGTGTGATTAAATGAAGTGTAAACCTCTTTTATAACGTCATGAGGGGTGCGTATGTTGGCATTATATTGTCTTTGATGGATAAGGTGTTTCTTTATCCCTTAATGATCTTATATGTTTTTTGTATTCATCTTTTAATTTTTATCCTGTCCTTGTTTTATCCTTTGTCTCCACACTCACCATTTTTCTCAAGTGGGTTAGTTTTGTTAAAGTTCGGTCTAAGTAGTTTTCTGATTGTATTAGTGGTCTTGGTGCCCAATTTTTTGAATAGATTTGTTAATTTGTATATTTCTTTCTCAATAAACATCCATACGACCAAATTTCAGGTTCAACAACTCGCAGGCAACATAGACAACTTGTCTAATTTAATGTTTTTGTATATGTTATTTTTTTATTGACAGCTTGATCATATCAGATTTTTCAGGTCTATCTAATCACACAAGTTTTGACTCTCAGATGCATAAAAGACTTAACTTAAGACCCGACTGCATCTCACGATATCTGAATAACTTAACTTAAGACTTAAAAAGTCCTACTTTTGGGTTGAGCATAGATCATACCAAGATCACCCACAGACATCTAATGGGTGAACCTCACAGGTGCCAGAACTTATCACAGTTGAGCCCATGCAAAGAATTACGTCTGAAAAGAAAGAAATACAACCCGAATGACCTATAGCCTTGGGGCATGGCAGCAGGTGCAAATCGCTAATCCAAAACCTCAGAGCATAAATATTTTAAAATGTTATAGATTTATGCATTTATGACCTGAAACGAACCAGTGCTTGCTGGTGGGAGTCACACAAACGGCCCAAAAGTATAGTTTTTCTTCCAAGGCTCAGTTTCTACTAGGTGGTGGGAAGAGGTGAGATAGGCTGATGCTACAATTTTTTAAATTTGTACTGTGGTGGCATTTCTTAAGAGTTTTTTTTAAGTAGAATGGTTTTCACAATTGTCACACATCACCCTATAGCTCGAATTGCCTTTTGCGTTTCAGAATATTTTCTTTTAATAGACAAAAGGGTTTTGCAAAAGTATGTGTTATCATTGATGATAAAATAATAGAAGCCTATTTGATTACATTCATAAATAATCCATTCATCCAAGTTGAAATCCGCTCCCGCTATAGCAAAATTTTACAATACCCTCCCACCCACTGTAAATCAGCACTTCCAAAAACTGTAAAAACTCACATCCCAATGAATTCCTCGAAAACTTTCTTGCTGCCTGAAAATACGATGACCGCAAGATCTCTTATGAAGTGATATTGACACAAGCATTAATTAACAGACAACGTTTTATCATTTGAGTACAACCAATGAGAATTTTCTTCACTCCTGTGTTTAATTTTGTGCATATGTGTTTCCTATCTCATTGTTACATGTTACCAAATTGAAGGTAGTTGTAATGTACTGCGAATTAATAATCATAAAAAAGTTTTTATATACTGAGAGGCAAAAAAAGTGGTCACCCTAATTTAAAAAAAATAAGTACTTGCAACCATTATAATTTTTAATTGTTTGCTGTTTACTGGACATATTAAAGAAAAATATAAGATATAGTAATAATAAAATATAATAAATAAAAAATTAAACTGAGAAAAACAATTTTACCAAAAAAGTTACTATAGAAGCTGAAGAAAATTTTAATTAATTATTCTTCTTATCTTAGGTCTTGGTTGTGTTGAAAAAGTGTCATAAGCGGGATTCGAACCCATGACCATCGAATATGCTGCTACTCTTATCACTTGAGCTATCATGAAGCTGAAGTTGGTTAGAGCAACAGCGAATTGAGCCAAAGGTCATGCGTTTGAATCCCGCTCTTGACACTAAATTTTTATCTCAACCAAGCCCTTAAATAAACAAAAAAAAATTAATGGTAATTATTAATATGGCCAATTATGACCGCTAAACATGTATAGATTGAAAAAAAAGTTGGTCCCTGCTTGCATTCGACATGACATCGATTTTATGATGTTAAAATTGTAGTGTAGTGGAATATTTTCATACCCCTCCAACAGCGCCATTAGATTTTTTACCCTCTTTGACAACTCGCCCCAAATGTTCAATATGGAGTCAGGACTACATGGTGGGCCAGTCCAAACAATGAATTGAAGCCTGTACCAAGTAGTCACCAACGATCCTAGCTGCATGGGGACATTGTGATGCATAACAATAAAATTACCGCAAATTAGTGGCATATAAGGAACAATTTCTTTTGATAAGACAAGGAACCCTTGATGAAAATCAAGTCTGTGTGACTTTCTATACCTGTCCAAACTATAAAACCACCACGTCCATAGCTTTCCGGAATGAAAATGTTGCGGGGATATATGCTCTCCTGATCTCAAAACCCTGTCCCAGCCAACAGAAAACCTCAAACAAAACCTTGACTCATCCAAAAACAAGATTTTAGTCCAATGTTGCCCAGACCAATTGATGTGCTTTCTTGCGAAACTTAACCGAGCTCTTCTCTGCCTTGTCAAAAGTTCTCAACCATTGGCAGACCTTCTCGCATGTAATCTAGCTTCTGAAAGATGTGCGTAAACTGACATAAATATTTTTCATTTATTAAATTTATCTCAACACGGAAGAATGCAAATTAGGGAGTACATTTGAAACAAAAAAACTATCGACTCTCTAAGATGTGACACGATGTCGACCTGATCCTTGGCTTCTTGAGTAACCTCAAGTATCTTGTAGCGATGGAAGACACGTTGGACAATCATTCTGGGAATGTTAAGCACTCCGGAAGCATAAACTTAACTTCTTTCACCTTCCAACAATGCTATAATTCTAACCGGTCAGGCCATGCAAAATATCTAATAATGGATAGCAGCCTGACGCTCACCAGGCAAGTGGCAGATAGAATCCACAGGACTGTGGAAAAACTGCTATCAGGCTGCTCTACTATCATGGGACTCCATTGTGCGCTTTTAATGCAAAGCTTCTCTACAGCAGCATTGTGCCCTGCTTGAAGCATCACTTCCCAGACAAACCTTAACATGTTTTTACAAGTGATCCAAAATAAGTTTTTGAGGTTTGTCACCTCCTGCCCAAATTGGACCAGAATTGAGCGCCGCCAAGAGATGACCAAAATGAAGACCATTGACTTAGAGCGAAGTCAAGAATGCTTCTTTAGCATATGTGCTGCCGGCAGGAATGCCCTACGTAGAGTAATAGGAGCCTTAATAAGCGCTAGAAGCACCGGCATGTAAAGAACATTTTGCTTCGATACTGCGCTGTGATTTTTACGGCATTTGCGATACTCCACTAAGTGCTGTGATATTCCTATATTTTCTGGTCTGTAAATGTACGTAAGGAGTTTCAGGTTGTAGTTAAAGTGACCCTACTCTTGTCACTCTAATTTGAAATTAATGTAATAAATAAAAAACAAAAATGATTCTAACCGAATCTGTATCACTTCAAACAAATTTGAAACTTAAAAATTGCCCAAATTAAAAAATCAAACCACCGGACTGTTATACAGAAGCTTTTCGGAATAACCTACAAAGAAGAGATTGACTGTTAAAAAATGTATTTACAAATTGTAAAAATAAATGGGAGATTTTATCTGTGTTTTGTTTACCTCTAATCTTTTAAACCGACCAAATATTGCTATAAGATAATCAGTGGAGGATTATTTTAGAGATAATTAAAAATATTAAGGGTGGCCATTTTTTTTTTTTTTTGGCCTATCAGTGTATTATTAAGTGTGGCTATTTTTTTTCCTCTCAGAGTATATGTACAACTGTGAATTGAACAAGATGTTTTTACTTACCGGAAGTGATCTCATACATGATGACCGACTTAAGTCATAAATGCTTATCCGTGTAAGCGATGAGCTGAAGATAATGAGACAAGTAACCCACCCCCTCTGAAGACTTTATGCACATACGCCGTGGTGGGGGTGGTCGAGGGCCGGGAGTGGGAAAAGCCGACTGCATCTAAGCCATCCTGACTCTTCAACTTCAGTAGACTCCCGAACGCCGGACGAGGAGTTGGTCCGCGTCGTTTCGCTCCGTTCTTTCCCGGCGTGTTTGTGCTCTCGTAAACGCGTTTTTTTAAAAATTTTTTCCCCTTCGGCGAGTGGTTTGTGTTGTGCCAGGAAGAAGCCACGGGAGCGCAGACAGGATGCCATCGAAGAAACAGTACGATCTCGTCCAGAACGACGAATACGACACGAGGATACCATTACATTCTGAGGAGGCCTTCAACCACGGCATCACATTCCAAGCTAAGGTCAGAACTGTTTACAACACGATCATTCTTTCCATGAGCAGCCTGCATGAATGCCCATCTCCGTAAAAATTACATTTATGACATTTCTCTTTTATTGCAGTTAACACTTACACACTATTATTCCTAGAACAATTTTGACATATTCGATTTTTCCCCGCCAAATCTAACTTAAAATTACGAAATTTCAGTCAAAATGTTGCATTTATTGTTTAGAACATAATATTTATTTAAAATATTTATAAAAGTTTAAACATATTTACATAAGAGTGCCAGTTTATACTAAATCTTCCTTTTTAAGAAATGAATTTTTAACAAGATTTGTTTCAACAAGACAAAAGAAAAGTTAGTTCAAGGGCAAATATCTTAAGAAAAAAGCCTAAGCCTTAAAAAAAAATGTATATAAAAAATTTTACCCTAGAAACATGTCTGACCTTGAACCTTTTATTATTGAAAAAAAAGAAGAAAAAAAATGAAATGCCCAGAGAACGTGTCATCGTCTCCTTTTTTTTTATTTTCCAAGAATTTAATATTAAGACCTAATTAGGCATAATCGAACTGAATCTTTTGCTCTACAAAAGATATTAAAATTTTTTAAAATATATTTTATTTAACCGATTGTCTAAATTTTTTATATTTGGCTGGACAATAAGGTTAAACCATTTTTATTTATTTAAAGCATTTAGGTTTTTAAGTCTCCATTAGAAACAGCAAATTCGAATCATACTAGCAATTTATGTGTTCAAAAAGTGAGTTTTAAAGGATTTATGGGTTTTTGGTAAAAAACAATACAAAAACGAATTGGTTCTAACCAATCTGAAATAGTTAATTAAGTGCCCTATCTGAGAAAAATATAGGATTTTTGTATGTTTTCAACACAATTCCTTACATAAATTGGCTATGGGCTATTTGTCTTGGTTTTCTATATAAAAAACTTAAAATTGTTAATATTGGCTAATTGGAATAGAAAATTATTGTAGTTTTTAAAAAATATACGTTTGATTATGAGTCCGCAACTCACTATCTACAAATAATGATTGTTTAGTATTTATTCAGATATCTTGAGATGCGGTCTGGTGTGATGTAGGTTTCAGAAAAACATTTTCTTTATCGTGCCAACGTTTCGATCTTTATTGAGATCATCTTCAGGGCCTGGGATTTACAAACATTTTTTACATATAACACTTACATTTTGTAATGTAATTGTTATCTGTAAACAATGTTTGTAAATCCCAGGCCCTGAAGATGATCTCAATAAAGATCGAAACGTTGGCACGATAAAGAAAATGTTTTTCTGAAACCTACATCACACCAGACCGCATCTCTCGATTTCTAAATAAATATCGTTTAACGGTCACTAATCACCACACATTGTTTAGTATGTTCAATGAGAAGTTCGTAAGTCCTAAGTATAATAGAACAATAAAAATGATGAACGAGGTGTAGTGTAGATTTTTTTTGTGGTAAAAACAAACAAAGACCATTTGGTTTTAACCAATTTGAAATCAGTTAATTAAGTGCCCTAGCTGAGAAAAATAGAAGATTTTTATGCTTTCAACACAATTCCTTACATAAATTGAACTACTATTGGGTTTTGTTTTCTATACAGAAAAAAGTTAAGTTTCTTAAATATTCACTAATTGGTTTAGAAAATTAGTGTAGACATTAACGTTACAAAAAAAAAACAAAAAAAAAAACATGCAGGCAAATGTAAATTGTACATGAATTAGAAGTTCATAAGTAATATGTATAAAAGACTTTTTGATTGAATTTTCCTAAAGAAAAGAATTCTGATAAGGATCCTATAAAACATAAAACATTTTCGTGTTTCTTGCATGACTCTAAATATTGAAGTAATTGTTTTAAAAATGATAAATGAGATGTAGTGTAGATGTTTTCTCATGCGCCAGGAACCAGTAAATTCAATACTTTTACAGAATTTATGCTTTTAAGTCCTCATTTGTAACATAGAATACATTTAAATTAACAAATTCGCATCATACTAGCTATTTACGTGTTCAACAAGTGAATTTTAAACGATTTAAGGGTTTTTGGTAAAAACAATACAAAAACGAATTGATTCTACCAATTTGAATAAGTTGATTAAGTGCCCTATATGAAAAAAATTAGAGGATTTGTGTGTTTGGATTCCTTACATAAATTGAACTACTATTTGGTTTGCTTTTCTATATAAAAAAGTTAAGTTTTTTAAATATTCACTAAACAAATGAAAATATAAAAATTAATGGCCAATCTCATTTCACTCTTATTTTTATGAGCCACAAAGTTCTTTTATTTTTATTGGTTTCCACTTGGCCAGTTTCTGAATGAAGATGAAAACATCAGGACCATGTATACTACTTACACAGGAGAGGTGGGGTGAAGACAAGGTAGAGAACTCATAAGAAAAGAAACAAGTTTCAGACTCTTCACTGCTCATTCAGAAATTGGCCAAGTGTTAACCAATAAAAATAAAAGAGCTGAGTTGCTCATAAAATTATGAGTGAAGTGAGGTTGACCGCAATGTAGATATATATACAACTTTGATAGGCTGACCTTTTCAATTTTCTGGCAGGGAGTCTGGAACTTTTATCTTTTTTTTTTACTTTATGGACTAGAAAAAAAACGGACTTGGCCACAGTGTAGATATGTATCGTTACATTGATAGGCTAATTTTTTGGAAGGAACATGGCCCTTTGTTCACGTTTAGGTTTTTGTTGTGATTTAATTTTACATGAAAATATAAAAACGAATGATCATGGATTGATCCATACTTGTTTAGTGGTCGTAATTGATCATATTAATTATTCCAATTAATTATTCTTTTTATCTAATGTTTTCTAATTTTTCATTTCAACCAAGACGTAGATAAAACGAATAATTAACTGTTTCCTACGCGTAGTGAGAAGTTCATAAGTCCTAAGTATAAAACAACGACACTTTTTGATTGGATATTTCTTTAAAAAAAAATTCTGACGTGGTTCTAAATCCTATAAAACATTTTCGTGTTTCTTGCATGATTCTAAATATTTAACTAATTATTTTAAAAATGATGAATGAGAAGTAGTGTAGATGCTTCCTCATGCCAGTGATTTAAACCACTCTAACTGAAGCAGCAAGTCTACCAGACCTGGTGAGGGTTGATTTAGCATAAGCTTATTGTCTAGCACCTCTACAGTTTATTAACTTCTCATTTTGTCTTTAGATATGAGAATCTTATATTTATAAAATATGCTGGTTGATAGTACAAAAGGAAAGGGAAAAAATCCTTCCTAACCAATTTGAACTGATTTTTCGCCTACAGGTATATTAACAAAACTTTTTATATTCTAAAACCAATAGGAATGAATTTAGCATAACTTCAAATATCTAATTCCTACAGGGAAAAAGCTTAGCTCCTACATATTTATGTACAGAGCGTGAGAAATAAAATGCATGAATTTGAATATTTTATCAATAAATCGAGTTCATCATTGGTAACAGTAAATTTATTTGATAAATGTATTGACGAGAGAGTGATTCTTTACACTTGTCGATGTTAGTACGAGTTGAGGGTAAAATTCTTCTCACTCGACAAACCAAATATATTTTCAGTAAAAATATCGACCAAGTTTTCATTCACTCTGGATCAAAATATGGTTTTGAAGAAGAAAGCAAATTCAGTTGTTACTGCCAAGCTTTAGTCCTATTTTAAAGTCATCGGGCAAACAATCTTAAATATGTCACAGATTGACATATTTAAGTTTTTGTGTTACAGTCGATTTCAAATTTACTTGAAGACAGGCTCGGTCTCAACATTGCCAAGGACTGTAGTGTAGTTACTCAATGAAATTTGAGATCGCTCGAAAAAACTTAAATTTATCAGTCTGTAGACATAATTAAGATTATTTTGCCCTGATGATAGATTTAAAAACTGATATCGTTGGGGGCTGAAATGGCTAGCTGTTGATAGCTCCTGGAGCCTAACCTGGGTTGCTCATCAGGACCGAGGACACCTGGGGTCGGTGATTCTCGAGCCCTGCCGGTAATTCATTGAATTCCTTGTAAAGTTCAAAAGTTAGAATTGCCATTGGAATTGATAGGCTCTGTGAACGTCTGAGTGTTTATGTATTTACACATGCATGTCCACATTTGAACTTATATAAATCAATAATTAATTGTATATCTTTATGGTTACGTAAAGATGAAAAACATTTTCTCAATTAAATTCACTAATTTCGTGGTCCGCTTGACCAATTAGTACATTACAATTAATTTTAGTTAAGATGAAAAGAAGTCAATGGCACGAGCGGGATTCGAACCCACGACCTTCGGCTAGATACGCCGCTGCTCTACCACTTGAGCTATCGTGACCTCGATCCTCTCGGACATCAACTTCCTATCTCAACCCCACCTTATGAGTTTTCCCTCCTTTTTGCCATTTTTCTCAATGAAAATTAAATACTATTTACATAAAAGTTTTTTTTATCACGGAAAGTTGTTTCTTAATAAACTTATTATCCATGAATAAACAATTGAGTGTGAAAATTGTAGGTCTTATTTTCAATAATCTATCTTTAACCTACTTTTAAAATTGGGCAGGATAAACATTGCCTTAAAAGAAAACAATGAACTAATGGGTAATTTTATTTTATCATACTTTTGTCAGTTGTTTTCCTTTTCCGATTGCTACACTTCGGATTCGTAAAATTTGAGTAAAACTCGTATCATTGGTTTTCAAATTTGAAATACATCATGTGCATTAGTAAGCGATTATTGCTTCATTAAATCTTTAAGCAAAGGAGTTTCTATTAAGAAAATCAAGCATTTGAGCGATATCCTCTTTTCAGTAAAGTGCCTGCAATTAACAAAGTCGTTTTATTCAAGCCTGTGTACGAAAATAATGGCATACATGGGAAGACAATGGGAAAACATGACGCCTGTTTCTATCCTTCATAGTAATTTTCAACACAGACGGTAATTGCATATTTTTTGCAAATTGCGAAATTGGCCATCAGACACAT